ATCAAAGGTAAGGTTCTGCCCACATGCAGCTCGTCAAAGATCGCCTCGTGCCTAGAGTCGCGCACCTGTCCCCTCTCCACGAGACACTGAACAGGTCGTGCACTCTTGCAGGCTCCGGTGATGGGGTCAACCGTCGGGCTAAGACGCCGACTCGGTCGAGAATCACGAAAGGACCAACAAATGTGGTTGATACTTCCTCTCTTCCCAGAACTCGAGGCGTACAACGCCTCTTTCCGTACTCAGAACCTCGTACGGTACCATCAAGATCGTTGCTTATTAACCATCGCTATAAGCGCCCTTTCTTAAGGTAAGAAATTCCACACAACACCCATCGAGTACACCAGACTCAAAACCAGTCTCTCAGGCTCTCGACAGCATGTCCTAAACGCATAACTATCTGGATTTCTACGCGGTGCCAAGTTCAGTCTCGTGCCCGGGTCACGTTGACAACTTGCCCACAATCCCAACGTGATCCGTGCGTCCGTATCAGACGGGCCGCCACGGGATCTCATAAAAAAAAAAGGCTAACAAGCAACAATAACACCACAACTCAACACTAATACCTACAGAAGCCACGGTCCTGCTCGATATCGGTGACAAAGCCTCATTCCTTGCCCACACGAGTAACAGCTCGTATGCAGTTTAGGAAGTATCGACTAGACATTCGAAAACAACCACTATCGCGGAAACTGACTCTCAAATAGGGATGCTCGACGATCCCAATAAAACGATCTAAAGGACATAGGCAATCCGGGGTTAAATGCACTGTCACCCGAGAGATGTCATACACACTGGCGCTGCATAAGCGGGGCGCTGGGACGTGTGCCTACATCTGTTCGGAGAACAGTTGCAAGGTCAAGGTTTCGGCCACACACTGGCTCATGCGTTCGGTGATGGTGGCTGCAGCTCTCGTGCTAGTCAACGATCGGCCCTGCAGTGCCTCACGTCCCTTAGCACAGGCTCGCGTGCTCGACCACCATTTCGCGTAACTACACCCAGTCAGCGTCGGCGTTCGGTTCGAGGTACAGAAAAGAATTACTCTAATTCAAGGTTCGCCCTATCTGAGGTAACTCGAAAGGAAAGGTTTTCACAAAACCTTCAAATCGACAAACATTAGGGTTCAACAAAGACATTATCAAGCAGATATCAAACACTAGAGATACGGAGGGATCTCCTAAAGAAATCGAATATCGGCATCCTCAGCTAGGAATAATCCCAACTCAGCGGTCGTTGTCGAATAATGAACTTGATCAGCTCGCATGGGCTCTTCCGACTAACAGTGTCGGCCGTCACGTCAGCTCTATCTCCAGAGCTAGTCGTGCCGGCAGTCCTAAACGAGCTCAAATGTCTACGCTGCTACGATTTTCACGTTTATGGATCTCACCACGAAGCCTCCTTGGTTAATTCGTTTCGATCACGTCTCGAATATAGGTCATCAACGATAAAAGAAATAAACACGACTAATCAATCTGGGTATGAATGAAGTACCCAGACTGAAATGGCATCGCCAAAATCGAAAGGAAACTATATAAGACAAGCAGTAAAACGAAAGTACTTGTCTTAATTCGTATATAAGGTTGCAATTTCTCAAATGAAGACTCCAAACAAAATCAAATACTAGAGTTTTCAGAGGGTTGCCAAAAGTTAAAGAAATACAAGAGTCACTCTTGAGATTCTGAAGGGAGAAGAATGGGAGCTTCCAAAAATTTGATGAACATAATACGAAAATGAAAACGGCTATGCATCTCACGATGTGCTTGCATCAGGCTCGACTACCCTCCTCAAAAGATTTCTGCTTAATCTTTTTAAGGTGGTAAAACACTCCATCCGGAACTTATTCCACGCAAGGAAAGAAAAAAAAAAATCAAGCGAATTTAACACGGTACGAAAATCAAATAAATAAGATGATCCCGAAATACAGTTCAAACTTGACTACTAAGCGAAAGGTAGTAGTCAAAGGAAATGGAAAAGCACTCGGGCGGCAAAGGCGTGAACGGTAGGTTAAAGGGTTGGAAACAACTTAAGCTCATACACTAAATTTGCGGCAAAATTTTTCAGAAAACGGAATTGCACAAAGTCCGTATTTTTAATGCATCTCTTTGGACAAAAATGCTATATGAATGAAACTTGTGACATTTGAATCCTAAGAGACAAAACTACAATTCATATGAAGACACTGAAATTAAATAAGGCCATTTAGCAGGTGATAAATCAACAAACATTGAAAATTTATTTACAGACCAAAACTGGGATAATGCACCTAGCCAGACTTCAGTAATTGCTCTTTAGCTGGAGCTACACGCATGATTTTAATGAAATTTTAATACCAAATGATAGATAACTCAAATGTATACAACTTTGCTGAAGGTCACTTTGGCAATTAAACACATTTTCAATGAGTTTAAACACAAAACATGTGGTTCAGAAAATCTGTCAAAAATTAACATGTGTTATGGACAGCACCTTAGTGTTTACCCTCTAGATCGAGCTACAGACTTTCAAATGACATGTTTCAAGTCTCAAATTAACCCTAAAGCATGCCTCTACAACTTTCCTTTAGAACACTTGAGCATAAAAGATCATTTAGATAGTGTATAATCAGTTAACATTCAATATCAGATTCTGCCAAAACACAAAACTCTATCTCATGCATGTCTATCTTCCTAAGAACACAACTCGAGCTACAGAGCACATATTAACATGAAATTTATCTCATTTAAAATATAAGAAACAGACCTATAACTTCTATGAAGAGCATAAATTCATACGAGCACGTTATGACATGATAAACAGGTCATACATTAATTACACACATGCTGCCGGGTAATAGAAAAACTGGACGCGCAATATTCTCGTAAAAATCATAACTTATTCGATATAACTCGGAATCAAGAAATTCCAAAGCTCACATATAGAAAACCGAACATACTACATTTCATAAGAAGATAGCAACTTCATATTGTTGGTATATGTGTCCTAGAGACAATCATTTTAAGGACATATATACATGATCACATTAATAATTATATTGGATTATAATTATGGTATTGCAATTAATTAAATAATTATTTGATTGTTTGCAATTTATTAATTAATTGTTCCCTTGAGTTAATACTGTCATTAGCAGAGTGAGATGTTAATTGATGAAGTATAACTCTCAAATCGCCTCAATCGATGATCATTAAGAAAGGGATATTAATGATACGCGATAGATTGACATGTGGTCTGCATCACATTCTTCGAGAATATAGTATGTCTCACTGCTATGAATAATTGTTATTCGTGATGGACACATGGATACTTTGGAGAGTATTGGCATACCCTACCGATAAACCATTTGTTTATGTGTCTATGGGAGTATCGGTGTGTGGAATGGTGTAATAGTCCTTTGACTTGAGGTCAATACGCAATTCATGTATAGAGTGATTTACTTAGACCTAGTCCAACGCTTACGCCCTTATGGGTAGATACGGGCTTGTGTTGGGTAGATCACGATATACATGGAATTGGTAGTTGAGCCAAGATAGGATTCATTCCTCGAATATAGTTTCGAGAGAACACTCGTTTTCTCTATACTGGGTTGATAAAGTCATTGGCCAATGCACGTGATTATATTTGAAATGGTGTTCAAATATAATTGATAAAATCAACCAGTGAGATGAGATAAAATGATTAAGCTGTTTGGATAGACACACGTTCAAATCCTAAGCTTAATCGAGTGGTTCGTGAATGAAGGGACCGTATCATTATTGAATTCTACACCAAAGGTTTGTTTGCTTGTCCATGTAAACGTACTTCATATTTTGAGTTCGTCCTTCGACGCAGTCTAGGAGTTTCGTAAGGATCATAAATTAGATTTATGTCAATATATGAAGGCCTATAGGGTCACACAATATGCAATCAGTTTTTCGACTAAGAGTGAATCGAGAGTGTTAAATATTCGATTAGATTGGAATATTTATTTATGAGTAATGAGATTATTTTCTATTTGATAGAAAATATTTAATTAAATTAAATTAGATTTATACTTAATTAGTAATGAGATAATTTTCTATTTGATGGAAAATATTTAATTAAGTTAAATTAGATTTATATTTAATTAAAATATTAATTGGATTAGATCTAATTACCTATTGGGCTGTAGGGTATCCTAAGGCCCATATAATTAGGTTTTGACCTAATTATAAATATCTCATTATCTCTTCATAATCAATTATCGTTGGATCGATAAGAGAGATCCCAAAACATCTTAGAGATTGAGAGATCAACAAAAGACAGAACACTCTCTAGCTTTCCGGATCGAGGATTCCTAGCTTCTTCACCGGAAGGGATTCATTGGCGTTAGATCGTGCATCGGGAAACTGGATTGCGTGGATACCATAGTCGAGGACAAACGACGAATAACTGTAAGTTTTCGTGTATCATTCACGTGATCTAGGATCATATCGAATAGCTATAGCCGGATCTTCGTTGTTGGTAAGAAAATTTTAAAATTCTGCTGCGCGTGCGATTGATTCGTACGACTGAAATCCAACAGTGGTATCAGAGAGTCGGGTCGGTGTTCATAGCTATTCGATTTTAAATTGAATTTACATGGATCAAAATATGTGTTAAAATAATTAATTTGGAATTAATCTTCATTAAGATTTTGGGTTGCGAGCTGATCTGAACATATCAGCATTCGGAAATTCAATTCGATTGAATATGCTTGGGGTTTGGAATCTGCTAATCATGAAGTTTAATTAAATTGTTTATGTTAATTAAACCAGAATTAAGAAAAGAATTTGGAATTCATTCTTTCTGTTCGTATTGATGCGCGTACAAAATTCTGGGAATTGTTGTTCACCAGATTTGGGAATTGGAATTCCTACACAGTGCATATTGTTTTAATCTTAATAAAACTAAAATTAAGAAACAGATTTTGGATTAATTTGGTTGTGTTCGAACCTTTTCAAATCTGGGTATTGAAATTTTCTGTTCGAACTGCACGGGGCATCAAGATTTGGAATCCCCGCAACCGCAAGAGCCGTCGCCCTTTTGGATCCTCCGTATGCTGCCGGCGATTGTCGCTGCAGAGGCTAGCCGCCGGAAAACGCGCGGCCAAGGGCCCGCTGCCGATGACGGCTAAAATAAAAAAAAAATAAAAAAAATTCAGGGATTTGGAATCCCAAGAACCGTCGGCCATCCGCCCTTCCGCCACTATTGCGCTCGGCGTCTCTGTGGTAGGATGCCGGAAATCCGAGCTTGGAGCTCGAAGGTCCGCCATTAATGGCGGACGTATAAAAAAAAAAAAAATTGAGATTCCGGCAAGGAGCCGCCGGCCTGGGGCGGCGTTGGCTTGCCGGAGGTCGGACGTCGCGGCAGATGCGCGAGGGCAAGCGGGTGGGCTGCGTGAGATAGGGTTGTGGTGCAGGGACTTGGTTCCGAAAATTTGATATCTTTTAGGGGTTGATTTGAAATTTCTGGAATTTTTGTTTATTTCAATTTGACCCCTGGGGTCAATGTGAAAATTCGAAATTGGCCTGGGGTCATTTCGTAATTTCAGGACTGTCATTTAATTGCAATTTGACCCTGTGGCAAATCTGTAATTTCTGTAAACTGTTAAGGCATGTTTGGCTTTTGTAAAATTCAGATTTTTGAAAAATCTTAAATAATGGTTATTGTTGCTTGTTTCAAATTTCTGAAAAATCCCTAAAATTGAAATTAGCCTTTGGGGTATATTTCAAACTAAAACTATAGTCAAATGATTCTTAAATATTTTTGAAATATTTAATGAATGAAATAAAGCTCCGAGCTTGTTTCAAAATTTTAGAAATTTTGATGAATATATTAGCACTTTATTTTGATCCATAAATTTGTTTGACTTACGTATTTTGAATACATCATTATTATGTGTGTTTAGAACCACATAAATGAATGAATAATTAGATTATTACTTGTATGTATTTTGAATACATACATGGGTAATTAGATTACTTATATGTGTTTTGAATACATATTGCTATGATCTTATATGTTTGGAATATTATAAATTCATAATAATTGGATTATTTGCTCCTATTTGTCTAATTGAAATAAATTAAATAGTTTATTTATTTTAGTTAGCGTCCGCGATTATATTGTCTGGGTAGGCGGCGCCCAGTATTTGTCGGACCGCGTGATATACTGTCTGGGTAGGCGGCGCCCAGTACTTGTCGGACCGTGTTATATTATGCTCGGGTAGGCGGCGCCCGATATGTGTTATTTGTTGGATCTTGTTTGAATATTAGATATTTAATACCCCGTTAAATGTTCCCCTAATAAAAATATAAGTCTCATCTTAGATGCATGACGTCACCCATCACAATTGAATGAGTGCAAAAACCTCTTCGTCCAAAAGTATTTACACCCTAGTGTTTGCTTAGGTCTACGAGGCTCAGACTCATTCATAGATACATATGTTTGTGATCGTGTGATGGTTTTGACTTACTTAGCTAATTCTTGTCGCCCTAGCGTCGGAATGATCTAAGGACGTCGATCAAATTTGATTTGATCAACCAAGAGTTGTAATTGTTTACAATTGGTTTAGAGACCTACTACTGCATCTATTATAGTGATCAGCCCTAGCTGGGACTATAATAGGATGGATGTGGATCTTGGCTTACTATGACTATATTTGATATGAGTCCGTACTCTTCTGATGGGGTCGTAGAGTATGTGAAAATAGTGGGAGCTAAATTAATTAAAAGCCATATTAATTTAGTTAACAAATGTGATCTTGTTGTTTTATATTCCTGTTCTATATGTTTCTCTGGGTTGAATAGAATTTATCATTGAAATGTATGATGGAAATGAATATGTTGACTGGACCTAATTATCTGGATTGACTGCATCTTTTGTGGTTGTTGTTGTGGTAAAAATGAGTTAAATATGTGTTCGACACGAAGGTGCCCATCGTACCTAATAAGACTTTTTCTGGGTACTATGCGTTTGACCATGATACCCATAAGAAGAATTAGGATGATAAAGTTTCAGTGTAATGTGTCGTATTGTTCTCTATGTCAACTAGGTTGAAGAGACAATATGATAGGATGAATTCCAATGAATGTGAGAGCATTTAAAGAGACTTTATGACCTTAGTCTCAAACCTTGGAGTTTGAACTGTTGGGAAATCTCTTCAAATGCAGGCTACATGATGGGATAAAGTCTTTGTGCATGTTGTGGAGATGATTGGACTGATTGGGAGTCTGACTTTGGTTGGAATGAAACTCCAGAATCATGTCGCTGCGAATATCATCTTATAGTCGCTCAATTTTCATATTTTAACTTCATTGTGAATTTTTATATGAAATGATACGAGGACTATGATGCCTTAGTTGCACATGCTCAAGACTTACAATTTATTCACTCTTAGGAAAGGTTGTACTCATGGTGAGTTCTTCTGCTAAATCTTACCAAGGGTAAGAGTAAGTAGAAAAGAGGCTGAAATTGTTTCTAGACCTACAACCTAGAAGCCTAAGGAAAGGATGGACAAAAGCTGAAATTGTTCAATGATATATGTATTTCTGCAAAGAAAATGACGTTGGAAGAGAGGTTGTATGTGTTTCAAGGCACAGGGTGTTGCGAACACTGCATAGAACTTGTTTGTTTAAACAAAGGTTTAAAGTAATACGAAAATTCTCCATTTTCATATGGCATTATAGTTTTGGTCACATTAATGAGACAATGTTGAGTACATTAGATTACTTAACACCATGTGACTTTGAGTAACATGGAATTTGTGGATTTTGTCTTAAATGAAATGATGACCAATAAGTCATTTTCTTGGAAAGGGACAAAAGCCAAAGAATGTTTGAGTTGGTCTACATTGACATATGTGGACCTTTTGAGACTCAAGTTAGAAGAGATTTTTCGTACTCCATCATCTTACTAATGATTTTATAGGTTGAGTTATGTGTGTCTTATGGAACACAAATCGAAGCCTTAGAAAATTCAAGAAGTATAAGTTTGGAGTAGAGAAACAACATGACTAAAGTATCTTTTCGATTTGATCGAGGAGAATAATACTTAAGTATGAAGTTTCTTTATTACTTGAGATTTCATGGAATCCAATTGTAATGGATACCTCCTAAGACTCATTTGATGGAGACTTGGAAAGGAGCAATCAAACCATATTAGATATGGTTAGATCCATGTTAAGTTTCACCACTCTTCCACATATCATTGAGGTTATGCCTTATTGAACTCGATTTACATTTTGAATAGAGTCCATTGAGATCAGTTGTAAAGACGTCATATGAATCATGGCGTGGCAAGAGGCCTTGTCTTCAACATATGCGAACCTGGGGTTTGTCTAGCATATGTGAAGAAACTTTTAACTGATAAATTGGAATATAAAAGTGAGAAATGTTATTTTGTAGGCTATCTAAAGAAAACACGAGAATACTAATTCTATCTTCCCGGGGAACATAGAGTAATTGTCTTTAGATAGACGATGTTTCTAGGAGAATATTATTTCTTCAAGGAACAAGGTCGTGTTGTGATAGAACTTGAAAAGTTCAAGAAATTCAAAATAACATTAAGGTTCAAGAATTGTTGTTTGATATTGTTAAAGATTTGAAGGGAGGTATTGGTGATTCCCTAAATAGAAATTTGTCATTTGATGGACAACTTCTGGCTAGTGGGAGTAATATGGGTGAACTGCAGAAGTGCAACACACTCATATACAACCAATACCTAATGGCTTTGATGCTGTTCATTTTCAATTAATGCATGAAAATGTGATTTTGAGAACCCTCAAATCGTTGAACATATCAACTTACAAGAACTTTTTCACGATCAAAATGTACAACCACAAAAGCAAAATATTGAACTCCGTAGGTTGACTGGAACTCGTCGTGAACCAATTAGATTGTCTTTCCTCTTGGAGGATCACGACGACATAGAGATTCCTAACGAGGATGATCTTAGGACCTACACTGAGTTTATGTAAGACATGGACTCAGGGAGGTGGCTTGATGCCATAAAATCTTAAATGGACTCGATGTACACTAATCAAGTTTTGAATTTGGTTGGTTTGCCAATTGGGTTAGACCCATTAGATACAATAAGTTTTCAAGAAGAACACTTATGTAAATGGCAAAGTACAAACCTACAAGGCTAGGTTGGTGGCTAAAGGTTATAGTCAACGTGAAGACGTTAACTGTAATACCCTTTCACCTATTGACAAAATTAAGTCCATTTGGATTTTACTTGCAATAGTTGCATACTATGATTATGATATTTGACAGATGGATGTTAATCGTTTTCCTTGATGAGAAATTAGAGGATGTATATATGATACAACCAAACAGGTTTTACATCCAAGTCAAATTTAAAATTAGTATGCGAGTTAAAGGGTCCAATTGTGGACTTAAGCAAGCCTCTGGGAGTTGGAATACCTGTTTCTACAAAGTTACATAATTGTTTGACTTTGTGAGAAGTAAGAAGGATCTATGCGTTTATAGTAAACGCAATGAGGATAATATTATTCTTTTATCAAATATGTATGTAACATATTGATAATGAAATGATGTTCCTCACTGCAGTTCATGAAGATTGATTATCAAGTACCTTCATTGTGAAGGACTTGAGTGAAACCTGCTATACTCTTGAAATTAGGATCTATCGAGATAGACCTAATAGAGAGTTAGAGTTTTCACGGTTCACTTGTACTGTCAAGGTACTGAAGTGTTTCTCCATGGACAATTCTAATAAAAGGGAATATTCCAATGGTCATGACATCAATTTGGCAAAGAAAGATTGTCTTTCCGTTGATGCCAAACTTGGGCATGAAGAAGATCCCATATGCTTATGCAATGGGGTCTATCATGCATGTTATGACATGTACGAGGTCTATATGACTTATACACTTAGTATAACTTGCAGATTCCAATAAAATCCTAGAGAGATATATTGGAAGACTATTAAGACTATTATTTAGTACATTAGATGGACTAAATAATATATTTTATTCTATGGTGGGAATGATGAATTAATAGTTACATTCATTTCAATGATGTGGGAGTGAGTTGGAATAGTTCCAACCAATAAACCACTGTGAATTCAACCGCAAAGGCCAAGTACATTGTTGCATTAAAAGCCTATGGA